CCCCCCCAAATTTTTTGAACCCCCTTATGATTCATCACCCCCAAACTCAATCCCAGCCTTCCCTTTGTGGTATGGTACCTTGCAGTACAATTTCAGAGAGATCCATACACTTGAACACAAGTTATTGTCTGGAAACTAGAAAAATGCTTATTTTTGGCCCCTTTTTGGCCCCCAATTCCTAAATGTTTCGGGCAATTACCCCCAAACTCAATTCCAGCTTTCCCTTTGTGATATTGAACCTTGTAGTACAATTTCAGAAATATCCAAACACTTACACACAAGTTATTGTCATGAAACTAGAAAAATGCTTGTTTTTTGCCCCTTTTTTGGCCCCTAATTCCTAAAATTTTGAGGCAATTACCCCCAAAATCAATTACAGCCTTCCCTTTGTGATATGGAACCTTGTGGTACAATGTCAGAGAGATCCATACACTTACAAACAAGTTATTGTCTGGAAGTTACAAAAATGCTTATTTTTGGCCCCTAATTCCTTAACTGTTGGTACCATAACCCCCAAAATCAATCCCAACCTTCCTTTCGTGGTATTGAACCTTATGGTAAAATTTCATGGAGATCCATTCACTTAAACTAAAATTAGAGTGCGAAAACCAATGTGTCTTCGGACGACGCCGGACGACGACGACGACGCCAACGTCATACCAATATACGACCAAAAAATTTTCAATTTTTGCGGTCGTATAAAAATAATACAAGACTGACAAAGGCTAGAGGCTCCTGACGTCGGACAGGCGCAAAAATGCGGCGGGGTTAAACATGTTTATGAGATCTCAACCCTCCCCCTATACCTCTAGCCAATGTAGAAAAGTAAAGGCATAACAATACGCACATTAAAATTCAGTTCAAGAGAAGTCCGAGTCTGATGTCAGAAGATGTAACCAAAGAAAATAAACAAAATGACAATAATACATAAATAACAACAGACTACTAGCAGTTAACTGACATGCCAGCTCCAGACTTCAATTAAACTGATTGAAAGATTATGTCTTCATCATATGAATATCAGGCACAATCCTTCCCGTTAGGGGTTTAGTATCATACCATCATAACATATATGAGAAGAACATAACCCGTGTCATGCCAACAACTGGTTTTTAAATAAATGTGTTTAGTGCCGATGCAAAGACCCTATAAGTGAATCAATATTAACGCCAAAATATGCAATCTTTAATGACCTGACAACAGTATCGTAACTATATCCCTTCTTAATAAGTCTATTTAAAGGTTTTGTTAGCTTCAGAGGTGAATACTGACATTTTTGTGCTTTATAAAGAATATTTCCATAAAAAATTGGATGTGAAATACCTGAACGTATAAGAAGTCTGCATGTTGAGCTATATTTACGAATGATGTCCTTATACCGATGTTAAAATTTAGTAAATGTTTTGACTAGTTTGTGATATCGAAAACCCTGGTGTAATAATTTTTCAGTAATACATAAATTTCTCTCGTTAAAATCTAAAACATTGTTACATACACGAGCGAATCGTACAAGTTGAGATATATAAACACCGTAAGATGGTGACAAGGGAACGTCACCATCTAAAAATGGATAATTAACGATAGGAAATGAAAAATCATCTCTTTTATCATATATTTTAGTATTAAGCTTTCCGCTAATGATATAGATATCAAGATCGAGGAAAGGGCAGTGGTCATTGTTAGTATTAGCTTTATTTAAAGTAAGTTCAACAGGATAAATTTCTTTAGTATACACACTGAAGTCGTTATTATTGAGAGCCAAAATATCATCCAAATATCTAAAAGTATTATTAAATTTGTGTATCAGATGTTGTTTCGATGGGTCTTTGCTGATTTTTGTCATAAATTGTAACTCAAAGCAATACAAAAAAATTCGTAAGGGTTCCGCGGAACCCAGTGTCTCGCCTACTTTTGCTGTTACTCGCAGGCTCAACAAAAATGAGGAAAAAAAATCAATAAAAATACTCCTTTAGATACTATCTTTTGATTGTAAGAAGCTTCGAAATTCTGTCAAAGTTTGGTATAAATCCTGGATAGTTTATGAATCTAATAAATGTTTTAAAAACTTTAACTGCAGACTGTATTTAATGTTAACAGGAAGAAAAACTAAGTCCATTTATAAGTAAAATACGGATAAACAGGTACAAATTTTAACAAAATTTCCTTCTAGATACTAGCTTTTGATCATAAACAAGCTTCTGTCCAAATTTGGTACAAATTCAGGATAGTTTAAGAAAGTTATTAAAATTTTAAAAACTTTAACCAGAGTGAAAATATTGTTTCCTGGCAGAAAAACTAAGTCAATTTATAAGTAAAATACGGAAAAAATGAATTTTTTTTTTAACAAATTTACTTCTGGATACTATCTTATGATCATAAACAAGCTTCTGTCCAAGTTTGGTACAAATCAAGGATAGTTTAAGAAAGTTATTAAAATTTTAAAAATTTTAACCACAGAGTGAATGTATTGTTTCCTGGCAGAAAAACTAAGTCCATTTATAAGTAAAATACGGAAAAAATGAAATTTTTTTTTTAACAAATTTACTTCTGGATACTATCTTATGATCATAAACAAGCTTCTGTCCAAGTTTGGTACAAATCCAGGAAAATTTAAGAAAGTTATTAAAATTTTAAAAACTTTAACCACAGAGTGAATGTAATGTTTCCTGGCAGAAAAACTAAGTCCATTTACAAGTAAAATACGGAAAAACAGGAATTTTATTTTTACAAAATTTACTTCTGGATACTATCTTATGATCATATACAAGCTTCTGTCCAAGTTTGGTAGAAATCCAGGATAGTTTAAGAAAGTTATTAAAATTTCAAAAACTTTAACCACAGAGTGAATATTTGTGGACGCCGCCGCAGACGACGACGACACCGACGGAATGTAGGATCGCTATGTCTCACTTTTTCGACTAAAGTCGAAGGCTCGACAAAAAGGTCCGCAATAAGTGGTGCACAGTTAGTCCCCATTGGAATTCCGATAACCTAACGATATACGGAATCTCCAAAGCGAACAAAAATGTTATCTAGTAAAAATTCAAGGGCATATATAGTATCAAAGCATGTCCAATTGACATAGTTTTTTTGTTTATTGCTACTAAAAAATGACCTAAAAGAGTTTGAACATATATATTCACATTCTGACTTTTTAAATGCCCATTTAATTAGGTGTGTGAATTTTTTCTTAATGAGAATGTGAGCTCGAGGCAATGTGGTATATAGGGTAGAAAAATCAAAACTTTGAACAGATTCAAAATCACCAATATATGCATGCAATTTATCAAGTACTTCCAACGAGTTCTTGACACTCCAAAAGTAATTAATTCCACTATTTTCGAAGGCCTTATTTGAACAATTTATTATCAGGTTTTTGATTGTACCAAGTGTACTGGTAAGAAGAATAGACAATTTAGTAGTGGAACAATGGCTTGAAGACGAAATGAATCTATATTTGTATGTATTTCCCATAGGGTCCTATGTTAAACTAAGTCCCCCGCTGGCAGCCATCTTGGATGATGGATCCGCTACAAAGTAACAACACTTGGTCAGCCAAGTGATGAGAAAAGCTCACTTGGCCCTTCGGGCCAGGTGAGCTAAAAATGGAACAAAATTTTAACAAAATTTTCTTCTGAATACTAGCTTTTAATCATAAACAAGCTACTGTCCAAGTTTGGTACAAATCCAGGATAGTTTAAGAAAGTTGTTAAAATTTAAAAAAACTTTAATCACAGAGTGAATGTAATGTTACATGTAACTGGCAGAAAAACTAAGTCCATTTATAAGTAAAATACAGAAAAAATGGATTTTTTTTTTACAAAATTTACTTTTGGATACTCTCTTATGATCATAAACAAGCTTCTTTCCAAGTTTGGTAGAAATCCAGGATAGTTTAAGAAAGTTATTAAAATTTCAAAAACTTTAACCAGAGTGAAAATTTGTTGACGCCGCCGCCGACGACGGAATGTAGGATCGCTTTGTCTGGCTTTTTCGACAAAAGTCGAAGGCTCGACAAAAAAATAGACTTACCTGATGACAGTGTTTCTTTGTTTACATTGAAAATAACATCACAACTAAAATCCCTAACAGCACCAACATCAGAAACGTTTCCCTATTTCAGTTTCTTTTTTAATAGATTCTGATTAAAATATGCTTGAATTCAAAAAATAATTTATACAGACCTCGTCCCCTTTCACAAGTTACACCTGCATTATAAATAGTTAGTGGTGTCAGACTTGAGACTTGCATATCTCAAGTGATTTTGCTATAGCAATATTTGGAGGCAGATTGTTCCAGTCCTTGACAGTGCAAAGAAGAACCAAATCCCAAAAATCTTTTGTTACTGGGCTAGGTTAATGGCTTGTACAGCTTGAAGTAAAAAAAAATGCACCAATAATCTTTGGGAGCTCACATTCTGCTCATCAGGGAGCACCTGCCTCATATCATTGAATTTAAATGTGCTTGTTGAATCAAATTTCATATGCGAAATATATGCTTTTCATGCCTATATATAGAACATATATAAATAGTTTGAGGTTGAGGGCAATCATGTACAATGTATGCTCATTTTAGACACTTTATTCTAACAAACCCTAAATACAAATCAGTTTAAATCATATTTAGCCAGCCACTTCCAACAAATCATGTGTGGTATGTAATGTGTAAGGGCACCCACATTTCTCCACAATATATGTATATATTCCTACACCAGAAATACTTACTTGTACCTACATTTAAGGTTATACATGCTTTGGCTCTATCAAAGGCAATACCTGCCAAATATATCGTGTTTTTTTTTTTGAAAAACAATAACACTTATTTAGCTCTATTTTATAAATTGTTGATATAATTTGAGGAGTATGATACCTCGTGCAAGCTTATTAAACATATAATTTACAGTTTTACATCAAATTTTCGGACTATGGTATAACCATAAACATTAAGGTGATAATAAAACTGTTCTACGCTTAATGTGCTTGCTGTAAGTTACAATTTACCTGCAGTAAACCTTGCTGAAATGACAGCGGCATTTTTCCGGAAGCTTCTTCTGTAAACCGGAAGTGAAAATGCGCATATTCAAATAAAATTTGACCACAAACCAGCATATATTTTTATTCAATTTCAGAAAATAACGGCCATGTAAATGTGAGACCACAAACAGATGAATTTGACACTAGGGTTTGAAAACTTCATATATGCAAAAAAAATTATGCCACTGTCAGCTCACAGTTAAAAATACCCTTTTTGCTGATTTTAAATTTCAATTATTTTAGTGTTTTTTCTGTGTTATACCAGAAGTCCATTACTACTGAGTCTAGTAATGGACTTCTGGTTATGCTTACTTAAGTACACTAGAAACACCATTTGTTATTATTATGATGACATGATATTATTTTAATACACTTACATTGATTTCATTTACATTGAAATCCATGTCAACTCGTACCTTTGCCAACTCGTACTCAACCAACTCATATCCCAATATTTACCAACTCCATTCAGAAGAGCAATTAAGGGCATCGGCTTTTTAAAAACAGCAATTAAGACTGCGGCATTGGCTCCAAACAGCAATCAAAGGCATTGGCTTTAAACAGCAATTAAGAGCATTGAGTTTAAAGAGCAACTGTAAGAAAAGCAGTACACCAGATTAGAAAGCAGATAAATAAGGCATTTTCCTTGGCATCTATCGTCAACTGTTATAACCTTGGTTACTTTATTGCGGACAAGAATCCATTAAGCCCTTGGTGTCCATCGTTCATTGTAGGGGGACGAAACCACTTATTCATTCGATTCCAAAATGCTACCAGTAATTTAGCCCTTGCTGTATCCGGAGAAATAACTGGTACGAACTCCGAAGAGTACCTTAATTATCTGTATCCCCGGTACGTGACACTTAATTTCTAGTTTACTATCCACAGCGGTCACTGATAATACTAATTACTAGTAATGCACTTCTGATAAGATATCAAGTTATTTATATATATAATTCGTCTCAAAGTTAGCCCAACAATGTTATATCTTCAAATTTGCGTTAGCAAATTTTTGTACTTCCCTCAGCGGGATTCGAACTCTTATTTCTGTGACATCGTGGCAACACCACCTGAACCGTGTCCAGCGCCCTAGACCACTCGACCACCTAGGCTATATAACATATAGCTTTCTCTGCATGGTCGTGTAATGCCTTTCCTCCGTTCGGCTTTATATAGGGCTGTAACACATGTAGGACATGATGTATAGTGGCAAGTAGATGGTGTAACTTTCAGATCAGCTATTATTTCTGTCCGTAAAGGATGATAATGTTAATTACCATGCCGCCACATCAATGATTTTAATTTTATTATACACGCCTAAACATGTGGAACCTGATGTTCAGTGGTTGTCGTTTGTTGATGTGGTTCATAAGTGTTTCTCGTTTCTCGTTTTTTATATAGATTAGACCGTTGGTTTTCCTTTTGAATGGTTTTACACTAGTCATTTTGGGGCCCTTTATAGCTTGCTGTTCTGTGTGAGCCAAGGCTCCTTGTTGAAGGCCGTGCTTTGACCTATAATGGTTTACTTTTACAAATTGGGACTTGGATAGAGAGTTGTCTCATTGGCACTCATACCACATCTTCTTATATCTATATGTGACAACTTTATGACCGGCAGACATTGTCCATCGGATAACACGTGGTTATACAGGGCTAACACCATAATATATACATATATATTTAATTTGTCTCAAATTTAGCCAAACAATGTTAGGTCTTCAATTCTTTTTTCTTCCCTCAGCGAGATTCGAAGCCTTGCTTCTGTGACATCGTGGCAACATCGCCTGCACCGTGTCTAGCGCCCTTTTTTCTCTGGATAAAATTTTATTCAAATATGTACCAGCGTCCTAGACCACTCGACCACCTAGGCTATATAAAATTCTTGTTGTAAATATAATGGAATTTTATGCGACTGTCATACAAGTGAGAGGTTAGCTAGCTATAAAATCAGTTTTAATCCACCATTTTCGACATAAGGAAATTCCTGTACCAAGTCAGGAATATGGCAGTTTTTTTTCGTTCGTTTGATGTGTTTGAGCTTTTGATTTTGCCATTTGATAAGTTTTGAATTTTCCTTGGAGTTCGGTATTTTTTTTATTTTAACTTTTCGCTATACATCATGCACTGTGTTACAACCCTAGATAACCGACGAGGAAAGACACTACTCGACCAGCGAAAGCTATATTTTCATACAGTTTTGATTATATGAAATGTGCCTGTTTTTAATTCTGTTAAAATTACACTTTTTTTTCATCATAAGCTAGTAAATTTTTTTATCCCAGTGATATCTATTTTTATACAAGTGTCTTTATAAACAACATAACTACTAAGGGTCACTTATGCAAGGTCATTCAAAACATGACGTCATACAGAAAAAAACTGTAGATTGCACGATTAATTATTTATTGGTCCAAGCATACATAAAACTATCATTTATTAGGAAGTATGGCTTTAACATATTCAATATAAACACGTCTGTCAACTCGTAATAGCAAAATTGTGTTTGTAAAGTTAGAGTTATATTAATTAAGATTTATTTTCTTTTGTTTCTAAATTATTTGTATAGACCTCATCACTTAAAGTTGGGTGCATACTCTATTCAAGTCTGTCTGTTTTTCCATTCGTCTGCAACATTTTTAACAAACTTTCTTTCCAAAAATCTGTTAAGGCCTCACAAATGACATACAATTATAGTGACTTACTATAAAAATATTAAACTTAAAAGCGACAAAAATAAATTCTATATCTCTTTCTTTAAAAATGAAATCGACTGTATATTTCCAGTTTAGTTCTTATATTCAGCATTAAATAAGAAATAAGAAGATGTGGTATGAGTACCAATGAGACAACTCTCCATCCAAGTCACAATGTGTAAAAAGTAAACAATTATAGGTCAAAGTACGGCCTTCAACTGACGGATCCTTGGCTCACACCGAACAGCAAGCATTAAATTGGCCGACTGACTACAGATTCTTTGCAGCGCATTTTTGTAGAACAATAATGTAAATTAAAATGATCGCACCTGCGGTTTCTTTATAGGATTCTTACAATGTAGCGTATGACTTAGGGGAAGAATCATATCAAAATTATAGAAAACGTACAGTTTTTATAAAAAAAAGCATAATTCTATGCGAAGTTCGGTTAACACTATTATGCTGTAAATATCATATGTATACAGGTAAATTTTGCATAAGTAGTTTTCATTAATCTATTATTTAGTTATTGTTGGATACATTTTCGATAAGTTACCTCCTTCCCATCCCGAATTTAGATTGTTGTACAAGTTAAAGTGTGTATGTATGCTGGCAATTTATGTAGTCGGTCATCCATATATGTATATAATATATATATATAAATTGCCTAACAATGTAATTTTAACACACTATTGAGTATGTAAATATTAGAATGTTTAAAATATTTACAACGCCATAAAAAATAAACACAATATTTCGCTAGACAAACTAGCTTCATCAAGCGTGCATCTATCCAGGTGAAATCGGATGTAGATAAGAAACTTTTGCAGCTCTCTGTACATAAATTTAGCTGTCTTGTAAAGAATTCAAAATTTGGATGAAGTTCAAGATTATTTACAAAATTTGTGGTTGAAGTTTGCAAGGTCTATTGGCCAATATCACAGGATAAAAAGAACGATGCTGCGTACTAAATTATTCTTTATCTTTCCTGTATCTTTTCTCGTCTTTTTCATTCAGACTCTAAAGTGTGGAGCTGGTGGATCCAAAAGTTTTCTCTTCTCCTTCTCGCCGTGGTGTCCCACTCGGTGTTGACTTCTATGATTTGGAAAGTAACATTATCAAAAGGATGTTTCTTTGAGCGAAGATGTCTTGTGAGAGGACAGTTTTTGTTGGTTTTGTACCATGAACGATGGTAGTTAAGCCGAATATTAAATTTATCCATTGTTTCTCCCACATACAATTCAATTTAGACTTGTTCATCATACATATATATATATATATAAGTCTCAAGATATGCACAACGGTACTAGTCTAAAGATATCTTTAGACTTGTATAATTATTTCCTTATCTGCGCAGTAGCGTCTATTCTAGACGATCCGGTACATATTAAATTTGCTGGTTGTTCCTTTTTATAGACTTCTATATATATATATAAACAAGTCTAAATTGAAAACAACGTTCAAAACTATGATTGCGTTGGATAAAAACCGCAATTTTTATACGTGTGCATGTAAAACAAATTTCTTGTTAGAGGGGTCTAAATACAGCACAAACAACATTTTTCAAAAGACCAAAAAAGTGAAAAAGTATATTTTAACAAAACGCATTTGACTAACAGGTCGAACAACAAATGTTCTTAAACCCTGCCGACTGCCATTGGCGATCGCCAAATAAACGGATCACCAGGTGTAATAAATTGGATCTTATTTATAAATTAATACCAAACAGAAAACAATAGACTTGCGGCAAAGATGGTATACCGCAAACAAAAGGTGCAAAGATGTTTGTACACTGTATGATGAACTTATACAATAATATTCGACAAAAAAGAGTATCATTTGTATAAAAATAAGGAGACGTGGAGTATTGTGGTAGGATTACCAATGAGACAACTATCCACCATGCAGAGTTCAAAATAAAGTGGATGTAAGTAATTAAAAGCAACCGTACGGTCTTCAACAATGAGAAACCCTCATACCGCATAGTCGGCTATAAAAAGCCCCGACTGCATAGGGTGATGTCCTCGCACTAAATAATTCAAAGCTTGGTCATAGCGAACAAGTTGTTTCGGAAATATATACACCGTAAGAAAGGACCAAAGGAACATCGCCGTCCAAAAAGAGAAAATTAACAACCGGGAACGAAAAATCGTCTCTTTTGTCGTAAGTTTTTTGCATAGTTTCCCTATCTTTCTATCTTCATATTTCCGCACTCAGTCACAACTTCGACTATTACGTACCGTTGCATGCGTGGCTTATGTACAATTCAAAAGAAATAATCATTCCAGTAATATTACGTTACATTGGTGAACAGAAAAATAAAATATATTAATACAGTGATTTAATTAATTTTTGGTTGTGGATTGCTATCCTATGTATATTATTATGTTGTTATTGTTGTCTTCTGCAAGGTCCTGTATGAAAGATATTAATTGTGTCTCACATGATCGTTTAGATCGAAAGCAATGTTGTAGATCATATAATATATTGGGTTTTTTTTTCCAAGACGTTCTATTATTTGACTAGCTATGATATGCTCCTTTACTTTGCAAAGTATACATGCAAGTGAAATTGGCCTGTAATTTATGGCATTGTGTTTGTCTCCTTTTTTGAGGACAGACTTTTGCATGTTTCCACTCTGTAGGTATTTTGTGAGTGTTAATTGACTTTTGGAAGATGAGTGTGATGACAGGACTAAGATGATCTTTCATTTCTTTTAATACCTTTCCACATAGTTCATCAGGGCCTGTGGCTTTATTTGGATTGATGTTATGCAGTAATCCCGTGTGAAACTGAAATATCTAAATTTAGAAAAGGAAATTATTGCTGTCTGTATAAGATTTATTTAAAGTAAGTTCCTTTGGGCAAATTTCCTCAGTCAGAATCCTGTTTTTCAAATCTGGGAATAGTATACCAACCAGAAACTAGTCAATATACTGATTATGTCCCAGTTCATAATCGTTCATACGGATCCAGAGATCATTTTTAACAACTCTAACTAAAAATGTGGACAATTCTATGTTAAGGGTGTCTTGACAGCTTCAGACCTGGGACATCAAATTTTAGTATAATAGTCCCAGTTCAGACATACTAATTTTTTAATCTTTTGTAACTGGACCAACTTACTATCTTCCGTTGATATCAAAACTTTTAAAAAATAAAAAAGATTAACACCCTTACTTGCTATTTGAAGCATAAACCATAATGAACCATGAAGAAATAGATTGGGAAGGAATATGAAACAAGTTGCTTTAAAAAAAAAAAGACAATACGTGAACCTTGGAACTTTTTTATGCTATTTATTAATTCAACTAAATTAAAAATTATATCTCAGTGCTTTCATGGCCATGTGTGGAGGAGGATATTTTCTTTTTAAATTATTGTAAATCATGACAATATGAGAGTGGTGTTAATTTTAAAGTGAGATGAAAATAAAAAGGGAATGTGTCCATGGGACACACGTATACATGATGCCCCTGCTTGCATATCATATACAGTTTTAAAGGGACATAACTGAAGAACGGTAAAAGTGACACTACCTAAATTTGTAGTTGATCTGACTTTTGTGGTAATAGGTATTGTGTATAAGTTTCATAATATATGGTTGAGGCAAACTTAAGTAAGAGAACGGAAACTTTTATGTTTGTAAAGGGGAATAACTCTAGAACAGTAAACGTTACACAACCAAAATTCTAATTTGATCTGTGTTTTGTGGTAATAATCATTGTGTATAATCTCATACCATTTGGTTGAGGAAAACTAATTAAAGTTAGAGAACGGAAATGAAAAATTCAGCAATTTTCATTTGAAAAGGGGCATAACTCTAGAACTGTTAAAGTGACGCCACCAATTTCAAACATGATATGTATTTTGTGGTAATAAGCATTGTGTATAAGTTTCATAACATTTGTTTGAGGCAAACTTAAGTTAGAGAACGGAAACCAACTCAGTTAAGGGTAAACTGACGTAATGTCCCCACCGCTACGTAGGGGGCATAAAAAGAAATGGATTCCCAGACGTATACTTTCTTAAAGAATGATAATTATTCAAAACATGGACACATGTACCTTCTTTCAAAAATTCATAAAATAAATCTAGACATAATTAATGATCGAGGCATTTCGAACTGGTCAGATAGTAGGAGACATTAAATGTTCCTTACCGACCAATTATCAATAAGTGTAACTCTCCCACGAGACGCATTGGGAGACTTCTTGATCTAATTATAAAACCATTATTGAAGAGGCTTAACTTTTACATTCGAGATACAAAAGATTTCATTTGATTAATAAAACTGAGTCACACGAGGTCAAAAAAGCATATAAACGCATGCCAACAAGAATACATTGCGAGGTAGTAGTTGGGAGACTTTTGAAAAGGGACCCATGCTTAAACAATTTTAAGCAAAAAATCCTGAAACACTGATGAAATTCTGAATTATAGGCAACAAACATTTATTTAGTTAGCGAAAACGGTTTAAAGTCTTGAGATTTATTACGTATATTGGTTGAAGGAACCGCATTTTTTAATAATTTTTAATTTTAAAACACAATTTCATAAATTCAGATATATTTATTAAAAGAATGTTGGTCTCAGTATAATATGTATTTCCAATCTTAATTCTTATATTGCTATATAATTGCTTAAACAAATACCCGAACGTAAGATCAAATACACTCTTTTTCTAACTTTCCAATGTTTACAGAATCCATTGTATGCTTATTCAGTGTAAAAATCTAGCGTTAATTGTTTTGTGTATTTGTATTTTTTTCTTTTGCATAACATATTTTTAAAAGACCTCATGAAAGATTAACATGCAATTGTTAAATCTATTTCCTTATTTAAAAAAGTATATAATATATTTTTCATTATTAAGAATATGATTATTTCCTGGGAATATTAACAAACAGTTTTTACTTTATTTGTTTTATTTTCAGTTTTTGAAACGGACATTTTTGTTTATCTGATTTGTCAAAATGACATGTGCATAAAACTTATTGTTACAAATCAACAAATCCCAAAGCCTACTAGAACTCATTATGTAGAAACCACAACACCATTAATATCTGGCACTGATGTTCGATACCATAGGTCGTTAAATCTTGACCATTTAACTTTCACTTGTTTATCAAACGTTGCAACTGTCAACTTTGCTCAAGTAAACACTTACGATGCATAAATATAGCTTTAACATACATGTTTGAAAGTGATATATAGATACATTTAGTTTATTATCATATATCAGATAAGAGAATAAGCGATTTGTGACAATTTCTTTATTGCGACGTTTTAAATATCTCAGATACCCCCGTATGGAGGTGCTCTTAATTGCAGGAGGCTAATACAGATAAGATGAATAAGTGTTCTGAATGAAGAATAATTTAGCTTCCGAATATTCCTCCATAGACTATATTTCTAACAAATTAATATGCATGAACCCTCAGGGGTTCACGCAAAAATGCACTGTCCTAACTATGAACTATATTTTTAAGACAACGAAAATCAAAAGACAACAACTTCGTTCCCGGACCAATTGAAATTCCGGACCTGTTATTTTTTCTCAAGGATTTTTTGTTCTTCTGAAGAAAAAAAATACTCAGTCAATTAACTTTGAAACTCAAGATGAATCGTATTGTGTCGTTAGCTTTTTTCCTCACTCAGATAAATTTCCATTTTATTTTATATTTAGTTAGTCGAAGATGTTATCGGACGAATTGAAAACTTTGAGCTAGTAAGTGTTTATGCAAGATAGGTAACTAGTGTTGTATTGGTTAATACAGTTCGTTACTGTATGTTATAGGGAAAACGGTACTATTACATTTTTCACTATACAAATCCTTGCATTTTCCCAGCATTAGGTTGGCCTTTTGTGTACCCAAGGCAGGTGAAGGAAGTCAAATTAGGAGCGCTGTGATTGGATGTAAGGGTACAATATATTTTTTTTATTTATCTATGAATAACTGCAGTGTGTATATTTACAATATAAATTTTAATACCTATTGAAATATTTTCTAGAGAATTATTTGAAAAGGCTTCCAAAATTTCATAAATTTGGTGTAAAATGACGGTGGGCATGGATAACATAAACAAGCTCCGTTGGAAATTGGTCATGATACTATTTGGCTTCAATTTTTAAAATAGAATAATAAAGTACTAACACCACACATAACTGTTTTATCCAGGTTTTTATTATAAAAAGTGGTAAATTTAGAAAATGTTAGTATTGTCGCCTATGGCAGAATAAATAGTACCGTTTTCCCTATAGTTCATGAGCCTTTTGGTTATTGGTCAGGTAATTTTGCATCTCGCAAACGATTATTATCAGCCAGACGCTTGTATTGAAAAAGAAAGTAGAAAACGTGTTTTCTTTTGTATTGAAAGCTCCCCGGTTGAGTCAGCGTTTGCAAAATTTTTAAAAAGCAAAACAACCAATTAGTTGAAATTAGGTTGCCATATTTTACTTGAGCACAGGTTAGAATAGTTTTATAAATGTATGCCTTCTTTCTGGCTGCCTTTATATTTTGTATGTCACTCTGCTGAGCTTTTTGCTATTAATTGAATGCCATGTCTGTATATGTATCTGCATCTTTATCAGTATGGGTATGTTGTAGAATCCTTATGAGCTTTACTACAGCAGGGACATATAATGCAATTAGTCCCGATTGTGGTTATATAGTACCGCTTTAAACAGGTAGGGAACAGCCCCCTAAATGAGGGACTGTCCCCCAGTCAAGGGGTCATTTTGCTGTTGTAGAAAAGAAAAAAGAAAACCTTAGCTTTTTTAACTTAAAAGGGGGAAAATTCATTATATATGGAACAACTTTTCTAAACATGCTAAAAGAAGGGTCCACTTATTTTTATAATAAAGAAGATATAAGTCCATGAATATTACAAAATTCTTGGACATGTTTTGACCATATAATACCAGATAGATGGGTATCCGGTCGTTCCGTCCCCAAACCGATCCGGCCCCAAGTCGATCCGGCCCAAAGTCGATCCATCCCAAGTCGATCCGGCCCACGTCGATCCGGCCCAAAGTCGATCCGGCCCCATAATAAATTATGAATAAACTATATTGACTTTGGAGGATTTTGTGACAAATTTTAACAGTATAAATGGAATTTGCAAAAAGTATCGATTGGTTTACCAGTCAAAGAATTATTTTAAATCGATACGAAAGTGAGTGTGATTGTGTCTGTTTGTATAGCAGCTTCAACATATTAATATGAAGTTATTTTCCATGATAACTTTGAATGTCATGGCGATTTTTATTTTATTTAATTCACACACAGAATAGCTAAATAAATATTTACAGTCCAGTGGAACCTATAAAATTTAACTCATCATATAATGACTTGTTTAATCAAATCATTAGTCTATAATTGGTTTGTTTATTCAACAATTGTCTGATGATTGTGAACTAAGGTAATGCCACTCGTAATCACTTAATTCAATCAAATCCTGATTGATTAAAGTTACGTAATCAACAAGGTCTTTATAGTTTGATCTTTTGTTTGGTGTTATTTGTTATAATAATTAATTGTATTTTTTTTTCAGGTAACATCAGAGGCTTCTATATAACACATGTTTTTTTTTTTTTGTAATATCGAATATAGTTAACATATTTTTTATTTAAGTTGACAATATTTTGAATAGTTCTGTATAGATAAAAAACAAGTTATATGACTATCCATTATTCTTTATTGCAAGATAATAACAAATTAATTACACTGAATGCACATTTTCACTCTCTAAAATATAATATCAGCACTACTTTAATATAACAATAAATTCATACACACTAACAAACACTCTATCTCTGACACTCACATAAATATATATAACTTTTTAATCATTTACACTAACAGTTACACTGTCACTTACATAATATAAAAGGGGTCACACTTGCAGCACTACAATAACATATACAGTTACTATCATACGCAGTACATATATAATATATAGAACAACTAACAGCACTATACTTGTTCAATTTGATTAGCTCACCAATTGCAAGAACAAACGCACTATATTAGTCTAAACATAAAGAATTCTGGTTCAGGTTCAGGTGCTGCTTCTGGTTCAGGTGCTGCCTCTGGCTCGACTGGCTTACGAAGATCACATATATTTCTTCATTTATAAAGGAATTACAAAAATAATAAATATCTATCTTTATTATGTAAAATTCAAATATATGATACAACTTCATGATGCAAATATATAATACAAATATATGATGCAAATATTAAAACTGATAGTACGCTTTACTATTTTCGTTAAAATATTTTATTAATCGAAATACTCTGTTATGTTCAAAAAGTCAAATAAGAATAAATAAAGCAATCTTTATTTAGAATTTATAAGCTTTTTACCATTTTACACCTGAAAACATGCAAATTAATATTCCCAGATTTAAAACAAAACTATATACTTTTTTTTTCATATTTATGGTTTAATGATGAAAGCAAAAAAAAGATATTTAAGAATTTTATACAAAATTACAGTTTGATTATATTAAAGCAAAAAGTGAAAATAGAAATTCTGTTATATACGTTTGTATTATAATTATACCCAATCATCTTGAAAACTTGTAATGAAAACATAATCAATCTAGAGTGGGTGGCGCATATTCGCCTTGGACACATTTTCGCCGTTTTGCTATTTTTTCTGTAAAATTTGTGTGCCTTTACCCAATACTTGCCTAAATAGATGGTAAAGGCTGGTTGTAATGTTACAACTGTTGATATTCCTGTTTACCCCATTTCCAAGGTTATTCGCACATATTGAGAAATACACAGGTGTTTTTAAATGATTTTGGCAATTATGTAAGATTTATATGGCAATCATGCGCAGTCTTAAAGTAAATATTTGTGAGAAAAATCGTATAGGATTGATCTCTCAAGCTAATTCATGTAATTACAAACATTCGTTTTTATAATATACCAGGATAATGAGGATGGTCATATCATACATTGCGGCGAAAATGTGTCCCCCATGGTACACGAACAACTTGATTTCCTCTGGAGTTAGAACAATTAACCAATGTTTTGAAGATAATTTCTTTATCAAACAATTCATATGGCAAAATCAAAGGTACTTTATTTAAATCATTTGCACCACGTGACTTTATCCCTTTTGATCAAATTACTTCCCTTAGCTTAAGATTGAAAATATAATTTATTATAGATTTGCGGATAATCCAGTCCTTTTCCGTCATGTATCTAAAACTAATGTATCTTTAAAAACTTCCTTTGGCGGATATTTACAAAAATGCTGTGTAATTCTAAGGGAAAATGCTTAAAATTTGACTTTTTACGAAATGGGAAGGTTGAAATCATCATGTTTTTAAAAGAATTTGGCCGAAAACTTAAGAAAGCAGGTAAGTTAAAAGTTATTTAACTTTAAAATTCAACCTACAAGGTGTTTCCCTATATGCGAACAAATCATGTATATATCTTCTTGCATGTGTATTTCTGTTTTGAATCTTGCTATTTTACGATTTTACGTCATTTTATTTGATCTTATATAGCAATTACACAATGGTTACGCTTCCGATTTTTAAACTAAAAAGGCCGAAAGATTTCAGAGTAGACAATGTCCATTTGTACACGGACAGAAGCCTAAAAACATGTACAATTCACCTATATGCGAACAAATTGTTCATTCGAAATAGGTATTTGCATATTGGCATTTTTATTAAAAGGGCTTATATAATCCTATTGTAATGGCTGCCGTTATGAGACGGCAAAATGGCCACTATGCAAATTAGCAAATTACCCCAAATTTTGCCATATGTTTTTCATTTAGTTAAATTTCTGAAACCTTCATAAAAAGTTCCAAATATTCGAATGTAGGTCGGATGTAAGTGGAAATGAACGAATTATGCGGCGAATATGGGTCTCTCACTCTACTTGTTTTATACTCATCTAAAGAAAATATTTGTCAAAGGCCACTTTTTTTACCGTACACCTTTTACATTATAATAAAATTCATAAACCTTTATGAATTACAATTAATATATATCTTTATTTTTATTCCTTATAAATATATATTTTTTATTGGGGCCGGATCGACTTTAAATATGGGCCGGATCGACGTTGGGCCGGATCGACGTGGGACGGATCGACTTGGGCCGGATCGACGTGGGGCCGGATCGACATGAAAGCGATAGATGTATAGTTCTTTGGGAAAAGTTTCTTCAAATAATATGAATATGTGCCCTTTTGTTTAACATAATTAAACCATCATAAACACTTCAAACAAAGTATTTTTATGATTTTAATTTGTGGTTTAAAAAAGTGGATCATAATCTATCAAAGTTTCAATTTTTACGACACTTGACCCAAACAGGAAGTTGTCTAAGTGACTGTTTTTTTCTGGATTGGACTAAGTAGCGATAAGGTATATTTAGATTCCTGCTCTTGATGTGTAGCAAAAAAAGCCATAGATAAGTCATGTAAGTAGAGGGGAATACAGCCCTTATGCAAATAACTTCCCCAATTAAAAATAAAATAAGCAATTAAAATCTTAAAAAAAAAATTTTTTTCAATGTACATGTAATTGATATTAGAATCTACTAGTTACATGTATTTGAAAATGTTAAAATTGTTCACAGCCATTTATATGATAAGTCAAATGTTATCCACAATCTACATACATTATTAAAATCTATAAAAGCTCTTCGTTTGGATATAATTGATACTAGAATTAGGTGAGCACCAAGTTAAATTCATGGAAATGCTAAGGACTCTAAGGTACTAAGGATGCATGTCAAATGGCAGTCATTTATTATAAGCTGTATGCATAATGCCATATCTTGCCATAAATTTCAATAATATTTCTGAAAAAAATCATAGAAAAAATGTAGTTCTGGTGTTTTTATTTTTTCATATGCATCTTAATGTAACATGCCTATTTTTATGCCCCCGCCGTAGCGGAGGGGCATTAAGTTTTACCCTTGTCCTTCTGAACGTCCGTACATCCCAAAGTTGGTTTCTGTTCTCTAACTTTAGTTTGCCACAACCAAATGTTATGAAACTTATACACAATGCTTATTACCACAAAACACAAATCGAGTTTGAATTTTGGTGGCGTCACTTTAACCGTTCTAGAGTTATGCCCCTTTACAAATGGAAAAATTGCTGAATTTTTCCTTTCCGTTCTCTAACTTTAGTTTGCCTCAACCAAATGTTATGAAACTTATACACAATGCTTATTACCACATAATACAGATCAAGTTTGAAATTGGTTTGCATCACTTGTACCTTTCTTGAGTTATGTCCTTTATAAACATAAAAATTGCTGAATTTTTCGTTTCCGTTCTCTAACTTTAGTTTGCCTAAACCAAATGTTATGAAACTTATACACAATGCTAATTACCACAAAATACAGATCAAGTTTGAATTTTGGTGGTGTCACTTTTACTGTTCTAGAGTTATGTCTGTTTACAAATGGAAAAATTGCTGAATTTTTCGTTTCTGTTCTCTAACTTAAGTTAGCCTCAACCAAATGTTATGAGACTCATACACAATACTTATTACCACAAAACTCAGATCAAGTACAAATTTGGGTAGCGTCACTTTTACTGTTCTTCAGTTATGTCCCTTTATAACTTTATATGATATGCAAGCGGGGGCATCATCTGTATCCCATTATCACATTCACCATTTATTTTAAATGATTCTTTAGTCACACTTAATTTAAGCATGCACCATTTCTGGAAATATTACTGAATAGTTGTTCTTTTTTTAACTTTCTTAGGCTAAAATGATCAAAATCTTGACACTTGTTCTAGTTAGAGATGGAAAGAGAATTTTACTTGGAATGAAAAAAAGAGGATTTGGTGAAGGAAGGTGGAATGGATTTGGTGGAAAAGTCGAAAAGCAAGAAACTGTTATTGATGGTGCAAAAAGGTATAAATTGATCTTTTTGCTAATTTTCTACTTCAAGAAACAATGATAGACATTTGTTTGATACAATTGCTAAAATTCTTAATCCAATGGAGGACCAATTCCTGCTTAAATTTATGGAAATGATGCAAAGTTGATGCCAGTTGATAACCTACAGGGCTATCGAACAGTTGTCTGTCATTGTTTCTTGAAGTAAAAGATTAGAAAAGTTTAATGGGAGAAATTTGGATAAATCTTCAAAAAGACCAATTGCTGCCAATATGGACATGATGGAAATGATCCAGTTACAATCACTTGTAAAATTCTACAACTCTAACCAACAGGACACATGGCTGGAACTAGAATTTAAAGTTGAACATTTAGTGGAAACAGTTTGTTAAGTTTAACTTCTACAAACCTACAATGTACAGGATACTGTATTTCAAAAAGGCGTTTATTGTATGCACATCATACCAAACTTAATAATAGATATCTGAATTATTGGAAAGAAAATATTTTTTGTGATGATAAATCAGTGAACAGTAATAAGCTCAGAACATATTATAGACAGCTTAAAGAAAATTACAAATTGGAAACCTATTTAATGTTAAGTATTGACAAAAAAGTAATAGGATGTTTTGCCAAAAATTCGCACAAGTAATAGTGTTCTTAAAATTGAACAAGGTCGACATACTAAAACTCCTTTAGAAGAAAGAATTTGTCCCTTGTGTCTTTTAGAAGTAGAAGATGGATTTCATTTCACTATGAAATGTACAAAACTAAATACAATTAGAGAACAATTATTTTCTAAAATTAGTAAAATAGTTCCCTCTTTTTTAAATATGACTAATGAAGCAAGATTTATATTTTTGCATACGTGTGGTGAGAATGATATAATTAGAATTATTATAAAATTCATTAGGGACGTTTACAATTCTAGAAATGCTTTATTGAGTATTAAATAACTTTGTGTTACCACTTCCTCAGCAGAAATTAGATACATATACTAATGTAACAATATTATTTTTTAATAATGGAGGGGATATACAAATTTAAATATACAATATTTATAAATGTGGACAGATATATGTTTTATGTTTATCATTTATGTATAGCCAATGTTTATTGTCTTTGGTGGCAATCCTGTAATTTTGGATTTTAAACCAATAAAATATCTGAAACCATTGTCGTGACATCAGCCTATTCATTTACCGTGGATTCTTTTTCTAGAATCAACACTTCCTAAATCTGTCGCTGAAATGGACTCACCAGATTATATTCAATTTGTTTCCTTTGTGTGCCTAATTTCATTAAGTTTGAATTGGTTAATTTACTGATTTCTGTTCACTAATGGAATTAATTTAAAAACTTACCTTTATTTTTTGCAATTTTTATATGCCTTCACTGGGAATCGAACCCCTCATGGAAATCTGTTATGTGTGACTGACATCAACACATCAACTCAGTTACCAATGAATGGGTTGCAATTTAGATGTCTATTTTATATATATAAATGAACATATGATACACATGGGTATAACGGACACACAGGGCTTGTACCTTTATATATGCATAATAGTATAGTATAAGTTGGTAGCCGCGAGGTTAGCATGGTTAAGATCAATGAGTTAAAGTGCCAAGTTAAAGGTAGAGACATGTCGGGTTAGGTTCGAATCCCTGTATTCTCTTTGTTGTCCCTATTCTTTAGTTTTTATACGCCCGTTTACGGGACGTATTATCGTATACCGCTGACCGTCTGTCTGTCCGTCTGGCCGTCCGTCGTCAACATGTCGGACATTAATTCAAAAATGCTTTAACCAATATGCATGAAACTTTGGTGAATTGTTTATATCTATTGACGTGAGCTCCCTTTCCTTTTTTATAAATTTCAGACTTACCATTTCCGAGTTCTGGGGTTTTATTCATTAAAAAAGGGGGGATTTTCCAGTTTTCGGACAATAACTCAAAAACAATTTCACCAAATTGCATGAAACTTTTTGTGAATTGTTCATATCTATTGACGTGAGCTCCCTTTCGTTTTATATAAATTTTGGATTTACCGTTTCCGAGTTTTTGGGTTTTATTCATTAAAAAGGGGGGGATTTTCAAGTTTTCAGACAATAACTCAAAAAAAATTTCACCAATTTGCATGAAACTTTTGTGAATTGTTCATATCTATTGACAGGAGCCTCCTTTCATTTTTTTATAAATTTCAGATTTACTGTTTCCAAGTTTTGGGGTTTTATTCATTAAAAAAGGGGAGATTTTCCAGTTTTCAGACAATAACTCAAAAACAATTTCACCAATTTGCAAGAAACTTTGGTGAATTGTTTATTTCTATCAACATGAGCTCCCTTTTGATTTTTATAAATTTCAGATTATACGTTTCCGATTTATGGGGTTTTATTCATTACAAAAAGGGGGATTTCCAGTTTTCTGACAACAACTCAAAAATGCTTTCAGCATTTTTTATGAGACTTTGGTAAATTGTTTATATCTATTTTTGTAAGCTCGCTTTGGATTTTTATAAATTTTCGATTTTACATTTCAGAGTTATAAGATTTTATTTGTTTAAAGTCTGACAACCGATTTACTAAGTATTGCGCAACAGCACAGTGTATTGCACAACAGCAAGAAATCTTTCATATAACCAATTTCAAGTTCTTTGACTACATTTATTCAGAAACCTATAATATATCAAATATTTAATTACAATCCAAATTCAGACCTGTATCAAGCTTGAATATTGTGTCCATTTTTGCCCCAACTGTTCAGGGTTGGACCTCTGCAGGCGTATCCAGCTGCGCTCAGCAGAGCAGTTTATATAAATTTAGGATTTACCATTTCCGAGTTTTTGGGTTTTATTCATTAAAAAAGGGGGGATTTTCCAGTTTTTCGGACAATAACTCAAAAAAAATTTCACCAATTTGCAAGAAACTTTAGTGAATTGTTCATATCTATTGACGTGAGCTCCCTTTCGTTTTTTATAAATTTCGGGTATACCGTTTCTGAGATTTGGGGTTTTATTCATTAAAAAAGGGGGGATTTTCCAGTTTTCAGATAATAACTCAAAAACAATTTCACCAATTTGCACGAAACTTTGGTGAATTGTTTATTTCTATCGACATGAGCTCCCTTTTGATTGTTATAAATTTCAGACTATACATTTCCGATTTATGAGGTTTTATTCATTACAAAAAGGGGGATTTTCCAGTTTTCGGACAATAACTCAAAAATGCTTTCAGCATTTTTTATGAAACTTTGGTGAATTGTTTATTTCTATCAACATGAGCTCCCTTTTGATTTTTATAAATTTCAGATTATACGTTTCCGATTTATGGGGTTTTATTCATTACAAAAAGGGGGATTTCCAGTTTTCTGACAACAACTCAAAAATGCTTTCAGCATTTTTTATGAGACTTTGGTAAATTGTTTATATCTATTTTTGTAAGCTCGCTTTGGATTTTTATAAATTTTCGATTTTACATTTCAGAGTTATAGGATTTTATTTGTTTAAAGTCTGACAACCGATTTACTAAGTATTGCGCAACAGCACAGTGTATTGCACAACAGCAAGAAATCTTTCATATAACCAATTTCAAGTTCTTTGACTACATTTATTCAGAAACCTATAATATATCAAATATTTAATTACAATCCAAATTCAGACCTGTATCAAGCTTGAATATTGTGTCCATTTTTGCCCCAACTGTTCAGGGTTGGACCTCTGCAGGCGTATCCAGCTGCGCTCAGCAGAGCAGTTTATATAAATTTAGGATTTACCATTTCCGAGTTTTTGGGTTTTATTCATTAAAAAAGGGGGGATTTTCCAGTTTTTCGGACAATAACTCAAAAAAAATTTCACCAATTTGCAAGAAACTTTAGTGAATTGTTCATATCTATTGACGTGAGCTCCCTTTCGTTTTTTATAAATGTCGGGTATACCGTTTCTGAGATTTGGGGTTTTATTCATTAAAAAAGGGGGGATTTTCCAGTTTTCAGATAATAACTCAAAAACAATTTCACCAATTTGCACGAAACTTTGGTGAATTGTTTATTTCTATCGACATGAGCTCCCTTTTGATTGTTATAAATTTCAGACTATACATTTCCGATTTATGAGGTTTTATTCATTACAAAAAGGGGGATTTTCCAGTTTTCGGACAATAACTCAAAAATGCTTTCAGCATTTTTTATGAAACTTTGGTAAATTGTTTATATCTATTGTTGTAAGTTCCCTTTAGATTTTTATAAATTTTTGATTTTATGTTTCCGAGTTATAAGATTTTATTTGTTTATAGTCTGACAACAGATTTACTAAGTATTACGCAACACCACAATGTATTGCACAACAGCAAGAAATCTTTCATATAACCAATTTCAAGTTCTTTGACTACATTTATTCAGAAACCTATAATATATCAAATATTTAATTACAATCCAAATTCAGACCTGTATCAAGCTTGAAATATTGTGTCCATTTTTGCCCCAACTGTTCAGGGTTGGTCCTCTGCGGGCGTATCCAGCTGCACTCAGCGAAGCAGTTTATTCTGTTTTTCTGTTTATTTGCAAATCCCTATGCGAGTAAAACGTGATGTGCCTAGAATTAGGCTTCTTGCTAGAAATTTCGGTAACATACTTATTATATATACTTAGAAATAAGTTTGAATATGTCTTATTTTGTACATTAAGGTTAATATTCAGATGCCTGATAATTAAAGACAGACGTGTTATGTAATATTTGTATTTCTTTAACCAATTAATTGTGAACTAAGTATATGTAAGAGAATGTTAATCTCTTTCGTCATGATTAAGTACGATTGGTTGTATTCAAGAATTAGTTTCATTGTCATTGCAATGTTTATAATTGATGCATGACTTCCTTTTTCAGCATTTCATTTATGGATTAGTTTTAGTGATGTAAGGACTTTCTTATAATTTGGGAAATATAAAAAAAAAAATGCGTTATAGACATTAGGTCACACAACAGTACAAAGAAAAAGTAGGAATTGTATATGTTTCCTGATGTGAGTATGACTGTAAATCATGTAATATTTTAGTGAGGAATTATCCTTTTTTTATTTACAGTTTAAATCAATAAATACTTTTGAGTTACAACTAATTTTATTTCACAGGCAATATTTTGGTCCGGCTTTTTAAATCAAATACTTTTTCATTCAGTCAGGGGAATGTTCAAATAAAATGCCTTTAAAAGTATTAAACATATTCTAAACTTAAATTAAATTCCTTTTTTTTTTATTTTATCGGAATATTGGAAATAACTATTCTTCACAACCGCTGGTCCAGTAATCAGAATTTGGGAAAACTAAAGATTTAGGTTATTTTTTATTTAAAACTTTTTTTCTTTTTTTGCATTGCTTTGATATTATTCAATTTTTTAGTAATTTGAAGTTATTAATATTTTCATAATAAAATTAAAGGTACCAATTTTACTGCACCAGTAAGTTTCAACTTATTTTTGATTTTTATGCCCCCGCCGTAGCTGAGGGGGCATTAAGTTTTACCCTTGACCGTCTGTACGTACGTACGTCCCAATATTGGTTTCCGTTCTCTTACTTTAGTTTGCCTCAACCAAATGTTATGAAACTTATACACAATGCTTATTACCACAAAACACAGATCAAGTTTGAATTTTGGTGGCGTCACTTTAACCGTTCTAGAGTTATGCCCCTTTACAAATGGAAAATTGCTGAATTTATCGTTTCCGTTCTCTAACTTTAGTTTGCCTCAACCAAATGTTATGAAACTTATACACAATGCTTATTACCACAAAACACAGATCAAGTTTGAATTTTGGTGGCGTCACGTTAACGGTTCTAGAGTTATGCCCCTTTACAAATGGAAAAATTGCTGAATTTTTCATTTCCGTTCTCTAACTTTAGTTTGCCTCAACCAAATGTTATGAAACTTATACACAATGCTTTTTACCACAAAACACAGATCAAGTTTGAATTTTGGTGGCGTCACTTTAACCGTTCTAGAGTTATGCCCCTTTACAAATGGAAAATTGCTGAATTTATCGTTTCTGTTTTCTAACTATAGTTTGCCTCAACCAAATGTTATGAAACTTATATACAATGCTTATTACCACAAAACACAGATCAAGTTTGAATTTTGGTGGCGTCACTGTAACTGTTCTAGAGTTATGCCCCTTTAGAAATGGAAAAATTGCAAAATTTTTATTTTCTTCTAAATATCAAGTAATTTTTATACGACCGCAAAAATTAAAAATTTTTTGGTCGTATATTGGTATGACGTTGGCGTCGTCGTCGTCCGGCGTCTCCGGCGTCGTCCTGCGTCGTCCGAAGACACATTGGTTTTAGCACTCTAACTTTAGTTTAAGTGAATGGATCTCCATGAAATTTTACCATAAGGTTCAATACCACGAAAGGAAGGTTGGGATTGATTTTGGGGGTTATGGTACCAACAGTTAAGGAATTAGGGGCCAAAAAGGGGCCAAAAATAAGCATTTTTGTAACTTCCAGACAATAACTTGTGTGTAAGTGTATGGATCTCTCTGACATTGTACCACAAGGTTCCATATCACAAAGGGAAGGCTGTAATTGATTTTGGGGGTAATTGCCTCAAAATGTTAGGAATTAGGGGCCAAAAAAGGGGCAAAAAACAAGCATTTTTCTAGTTTCATGACAATAACTTGTGTGTTAGTGTTTGGATATTTCTGAAATTGTACTACAAGGTTCCATATCACAAAGGGAAAGCTGGAATTGAGTTTGGGGGTAATTGCCCGAAACGTTTAGGAATTGGGGGCCAAAAAGGGGCCAAAAATAAGCATTTTTCTAGTTTCCAGACAATAACTTGTGTTCAAGTGTATGGATCTCTCTGAAATTGTACTGCAAGGTACCATACCACAAAGGGAAGGCTGAGATTGAGTTTTGGGGTGATGAATCATAAGGGGGTTCAAAAAATTTGGGGGGGGGGGGGATTTTTTTTTCTTCTTTTTTTCCTTTTTTTTTTCTTTTAAGATTTTCCATTTTAAGTTGGTTATTTCTGATTTATATTTAAAAGCAAATAATAATGATATGGTAGGAGATACACACCAAACAGGATGTGTAAATTATTATATAATAAGTATTGTGCAATAGCAAGAAATTTTCAATTGCACAGTATTGCACAATAGCAAGAAATCTTCAATTGCACAGTATTGCGCGATAGCAAGAAATCTTCAATTGCACAGTATTGTGCAATAGCAAGAAATATCCAATAGCACAATATTGCGCAATAGCAAGAAATTGTCAATTGTACAGTATTGCGCAATAGCAAGAAATAATCAATTGCACAGTATTGTGCAAAAGAAGATACTTCGTATAAATTGCTTATTTCTTGATCAATTTCAATGGGGTTTTATTCTTGAATTCTTGGGGTTCTTTAATATGCTGAATCTAACCGTGTATTAAGTTTTTGGATTTTGGGCCCCGTTTTTAAATTGGTCCACATTGAGGTCCAAAGGGTCCAAAATTTAACTTTGTTTGATTTCATCAAAAATTGAATTATTGGGGTTCTTTGATATGCCGAATCTAACCGTGTATTTAGATTCTTAATTTTTGGTTCTGTTTTCAAATTGGTCTACATAAAGGTCCAAAGGGTCCAAAATTAAACTTAGTTTGATTTCAACAAAAATTGAATATATGGGGTTCTTTGATATGCTGAATCTAACCATGTATTTAGATTTTTGATTATGGGCCCAGTTTTCAAGTTGGTCCAAATCGGGGTCCAAAATTAAACTTTGTTTGATTTCAACAAAAATTGAATATATGGGGTTCTTTGATATGCTGAATCTAACCATGTATTTAGATTTTTGATTATGGGCCCAGTTTTCAAGTTGGTCCAAATTGGGGTCCAAAATTAAACTTTGTTTGATTTCAACAAAAATTGAATATATGGGGTTCTTTGATATGCTGAATCTAACCATGTATTTAGATTTTTGATTGTTGGGCCCCGTTATCAACTTTGTCCACATTGAGATCAAAAGGGTCCAAAATTAAACTTTGTTTGATTTCATCAAAAATTGAATATATGGGGTTCTTTGATATGCTGAATCTAACCATGTATTTAGATTTTTATACGACTGCAAAAAAATTTTTGTGGTCGTATATTGGTATGACGTTGGCGTCGTCGTCGTCGTCCGGCGTCGTCCGAAGACACATTGGTTTTCGCACTCTAACTTTAGTTTAAGTGAATGGATCTTTATGAAATTTTACCACAAGGTTCAATACCACAAAAGGAAGGTTGGGATTGATTTTGGGGGTTATGGTAATAACAGTAAAGGAATTAGGGGCCAAAAAGGGGCCAAAAATAAGCATTTTTGTAACTTCCAGACATAACTTGTGTGTTAGTGTATGGATCTCTCTGACATTGTACCACAAGGTTCCATATCACTAAAGGAATACTGGGATTGATTTTGGGGGTAATTGCCTCCAAATTTTAGGAATTAGGGGCCAAAAAAGGGGCAAAAAACAAGCATTTTTCTAGTTTCATGACAATAACTTGTGTGTAAGTGTATGGATCTTTCTGAAATTGTACTACAAGGTTCCATATCACAAAGGGAAAGCTGGGTTTGAGTTTGGGGGTAATTGCCCTAAACGTTTAGGAATTTGGGGCCAAAAAGGGGCCAAAAAACACATTTTTTTCTAGTTTCCAGACAATAACTTGTGTTCAAGTGTATGGATCTCTCTGAAATTGTACTGCAAGGTACCATACCACAAAGGGATGGCTGGGATTGAGTTTGGGGGTGATGAATCATAATGGGGGTTCAAAAAATTTTGGGGGGGGATTTATTTTTTTTTCCTTTTTTTTCTTTTTTTCCTTTTTTGTTTCTTTTAAAATTTTCCATTTTAAGTTGGTTATTTCTGATTTATATTTAAAATCAAATAATAATGATATGGTAGGAGATACACACCAAACAGGATGTGTAAATTATTATATAATAAGTATTGTGCAATAGCAAGAAATTTTCAATTGCACAGTATTGCACAATAGCAAGAAATCTTCAATTGCACAGTATTGCGCAATAGCAAGAAATCTTCAATTGCACAGTATTGCGCAATAGCAAGAAATATCCAATAGCACAATATTGCGCAATAGCAAGAAATTGTCAATTGTACAGTATTGCGCAATAGCAAGAAATATTTAATAGCACAGGATTGTGCAAAAGAAGATACTTCCTATAAATTGCTTATTTCTTGACCAATTTCAATGGGGTTTTATTCTTGATTTCATGGGGTTCTTTAATATGCTGAATCTAACCGTGTATTTAGTTTTTGGATTTTGGGCCCCGTTTTTAAATTGGTCCACATTGAGGTCCAAAGGGTCCAAAATTAAACTTTGTTTGATTTCATCAAAAATTGAATTATTGGGGTTCTTTGATATGCCGAATCTAACCGTGTATTTAGATTCTTAAATTTTGGTTCCGTTTTCAAATTGGTCTACATTAAGGTCCAAAGGGTCCAAAATTAAACTTAGTTTGATTTTAACAAAAATTGAATTCTTAGGGTTCTTTGATATGCTGAATCTAAACATGTATTTAGATTTTTGATTACGGGCCCAGTTTTCAAGTTGGTCCAAATCGGGGTCCAAAATTAAACTTTGTTTGATTTCAACAAAAATTGAATATATGGGGTTCTTTGATATGCTGAATCTAACCATGTATTTAGATTTTTGATTTTTGGGCCCCGTAATCAACTTTGTCCACATTGAGGTCAAAAGGGTCCAAAATTAAACTTTGTTTGATTTCATCAAAAATTGAATTATTGGGGTTCTTTGATATGCCGAATCTAACCGTGTATTTAGATTCTTAATTTTTGGTTCCGTTTTCAAATTGGTCTACATTAAGGTCCAAAGAGTGTAAAATTAAACTTAGTTTGATTTTAACAAAAATTGAATTCTTAGGGTTCTTTGATATGCTGAATCTAAACATGTATTTAGATTTTTGATTATGGGCCCAGTTTTCAAGTTGGTCTAAATCGGGGTCCAAAATTAAACTTTGTTTGATTTCAACAAAAATTGAATATATGGGGTTCTTTGATATGCTGAATCTAACCATGTATTTAGATTTTTGATTTTTGGGCCCCGTTATCAACTTTGTCCACATTGAGGTCAAAAGGGTCCAAAATTAAACTTTGTTTGATTTCATCAAAAATTGAATTCTTGGGGCTCTTTGATATGCTGAATCTAACCATGTATTTAGATTTTGGATATTGGACCATAATAGGTGAATGTCCAATTTAAAATTTTTAAGTTCTTAGACCACATTCAATCTGTGTTAGAAACCTATGCTGTGTCAAATATTTAATCACAATCCAAATCCAAAGCTGTATCAAGCTTGAATGTTGTGTCCATACTTCCCCCAACTGTTCAGGGTTTGACCTCTGCGGTCGTATCAAGCTGCGCCCTGCGGAGCATTTTATTAAAATTGGAGTTATCTTCCTTTGTCCATGATTATAGTTGAATCAACTACAATCAATGCTTTATGCAATGCAATGTTTAATTTTGACTTCCACTGATAAAACACAGATCAAGTTGAATTTGGGTAGTGTCACTTTAACTGTTCTTCAGTTATGTCCCTTTATAACTATATGATATGCAAGCAGGGGCATCATCTGTGTCCACATGTGGACACTATCCACATTTATTTTGTTTGTTTCACAATTCAACTTTTAGTCAGTTTCAATCACTGTGTGATAAATCCTTTCAATCTGATGAATGTGCTTCAGGGCAGTTGTAACTCATTTATAGAAACTCTTTGTTTTGAACTGTAAATAGACCTAAATAATAGGATAATCCCTTACTAAGAACATGATTTACATTCATTCTTCACAATTAAGAGACATCAAATCCTACAATTTCATTGGTCGAGAGCACTTTGCTATATTCTAACATTTATTAATGCATTGTTAAACATGATGACATGTTTATTTAAACTCACTTACAATACCTTCTAATTAAGAAAAGGCTTTAATTTTGAGAAGACATCAACACAATAGTTTAAGTTAGAGATGCAATGGATAAGCGTAAATTTATGAAAAACAAACCATTCGGCTTCCGGGTTCATGGTTTCTTTTTCAAGAATCAATGCTTATTCATTGTATCTATAATACTTATCTTATCTTAAAAATGTACATGATGTATAAAAAATTCATAGATTTTATGACGCTGTAAGAATTTGGGTTTACAGCCTTATCTTCCATCACCCATTGCTGCCTCTGTTACTAAAAACTGGAGGGTCTATTAAAAGAGCCTGTGTCGCCTTCACCTTGGTCTATGTGCATACTCAACAAAGGACACCCTCCAACATTGTAGACGAGAATAGAATTCATGACAAAAATCTCTGTTTTGTTGATCTTGTATTGCTGATCATTTAGTCTGTTTAGTGTCCCTATATCTTCTGTAGTTTTTGCTCAAAACACAAAAAAAAAACCTAATTTAAGGGCAATCACTCGTATAAAGAGTGACAGTTTACTAACTATATCAGCAAAATTTGACTTGTTAGTAAAACTTGCCTTGTTGATCATTTTTGTGATTTAAAGTGTCTATTTATCTATTATAATTTTTAACTTAGAAGGCAAAATGCAAAAAAATGGTAAAAATGGCCATTAAAGGGCAATAACTCCAATAAGGAGTCGTCGAACAATTTCCGCCATATTGTCTTAATTGTAGATCTTGTCTTGCTGATCATTTTTCCTTATTTAAGTTTCTATCTATTATAATTTTTGTCAAGCCTGCGACTTTTGTCGCAGAAAGCTCGACATAAGGATAGTGATCCTGAAGGGGAGGCGGCATTAACTAACTTCTTAAAAGCTTAATATTTCAGAAGGTAGAAGACCTGAATGCTTCATACTTTGTATATAGATGCTTTATGATATGAAGTTTCTGTCTGTCATATGTCCATTGTCCTTGACCTCATTTTCATGGTTCAGTGACTACTTGAAAAAAAAGCTAAGATTTTTTGTAATGTTCTCTCTTATTATGAGTATTAGGATAACTATATTTGGTATGTGCATACCTTGCAAGGTCCTCATGCCTGTCATACAGTTTTCACTTGACCTCTACCTCATTTCATAGATCAGTGAACAAGGTTAAGTTTTCGTGGTAAAGTCCATATATCAGATACTATAAGCAATAGGTCTACTATATTTGGCATATGTAAAGGTTGTAAGGTGTACATGTCCAACTGGCAGGTGTCATCTGACCTTGACCTCATTTTCATGGTTCAGTGGTAATAGTTTAGTTTTTGTGTTTTGGTCTGTTTTTCTAATACTGTATGCAATAGGTGAACTATATTTGGTGTATGGAAATATTTTACAATGTACATGTTAGTCTAGCAGGTTTTATTTGACTTGACCTCATTTTCACAGTTCATTGCTCAATGTTAAGTTTTTGTGTTTTGGTCTCTTTTTATACGACCGCAAAAATTAAAAATTTTTTGGTCGTATATTGGTATGACGTTGGCGTCGTCGTCGTCGTCCGAAGACACATTGGTTTTCGCACTCTAACTTTAGTTTAAGTGAATGGATCTCCATGAAATTTTACCATAAGGTTCAATACCACAAAAGGAAGGTTGGGATTGATTTTGGGGGTTATGGTACCAACAGTTAAGGAATTAGGGGCCAAAAAGGGGCCAAAAATAAGCATTTTTATACGACCGCAAAAAAATTTTTGTGGTCGTATATTGGTATGACGTTGTCGTCGTCGTCGTCGTCGTCGTCGTCTGGCGTCGTCCGGCGTCGTCCGAAGACACATTGGTTTTCGCACTCTAACTTTAGTTTAAGTGAATGGATCTCTATGAAATTTTACCACAAGGGTCATTACCACAAAAGGAAGGTAGGGATTGATTTTGGGGGTTATGGTACCAACAGTAAAGGAATTAGGGGCCAAAAAGGGGCCAAAAATAAGCATTTTTGTAACTTCCAGACATAACTTGTGTGTTAGTGTATGGATCTCTCTGACATTGTACCACAAGGTTCCATATCACAAAAGGAATGCTGGGATTGATTTAAGGGGTAATTGCCTCAAAATTTTAGGAATTAGGGGCCAAAAAAGGGGCAAAAAACAAGCATTTTTCTAGTTTCATGACAATAACTTGTGTGTAAGTGTATGGATCTTTCTGAAATTGTACTACAAGGTTCCATATCACATAGGGAAAGCTGGAATTGAGTTTGGGGGTAATTGCCGAAACGTTTAGGAATTGGGGGCCAAAAAAAGGGGCCAAAAATAAGCATTTTTCTATTTTCCAGGCAATAACTTGTGTTCAAGTGTATGGATCTCTCTGAAATTGTACTGCAAGGTACCATACCACAAAGGGAAGGCTGGGATTGATGATGGGGGTAATTGCCTCATTATTTTAGGAATTAGGGGCCAAAAAGGGGCAAAAAACAAGCATTTTTCTAGTTTCAGGACAATAACTTGTGTGTAAGTGTATGGATCTTTCTGAAATTGTACTACAAGGTTCCATATCACAAAGGGAAAGCTGGGTTTGAGTTTGGGGGTAATTTCCCTAAATGTTTAGGAATTTGGGGCCAAAAAGGGGCCAAAAATAAGCATTTTTCTAGTTTCCAGACAATAACTTGTGTTCAAGTGTATGGATCTCTGTGAAATTGTACTGCAAGGTACCATACCACAAAGGGAAGGTTGGGATTGAGTTTGGGGGTGATGAATCATAAGGTGGTTCAAAAAATTTGGGGGGGGGATTTTTTTTTTTTATCCTTTTTTTTCTTTTTTTCCTTTTTTTTTCTTTTAAAATTTTAAATTTTAATTTGGTTATTTCTGATTTATATTTAAAAGCAAATAATAATGATATGGTAGGAGATACACACCAAACAGGATGTGTAAATTATTATATAATAAGTATTGTGCAATAGCAAGAAATTTTCAATTGCACAGTATTGCACAATAGCAAGAAATCTTCAATTGCACAGTATTG